GCCCAGGTGTGAGTCTCTTTGGCACCTCACTCCTTTCACTTATGCTATATCCCTTTGCTAATTATTGATATTCCAGTAAAATCACTGCATGTCCTAATTTGTGGAGATTACAATGTTCTTATACATTAAATAATCTCATTTAAAAATTGAAAGCAATTTAAAATCGCTAGCATAAGTTAAACACTAAAAGAATCATATCATGTATTTTTATCAAAACACAGATCTCATCACACATCTAAAATTATATATCTTTACCTGGGTCAAATAAGCTGAAAATGTGGCTCTAGTATTATAATAATGAATTTATTAGAACATTAATCTAGATTAGGTTCTGAAAGAAAATGAAATAAAGAGAAGAAAGAGCAAACAAATCAAAATGCAATTTATTTTGAAGAACATAATTAGTTGTTTTTTTTTTAGTACTGTTGTTTTATGTAAATTACAGGAAAATGCAGAGACTCTATGAAACACTTCCATTTTGTGGCATCAAAGCTCTCATTTGGTCTAACCAGTATGGCGCAGTGGTTGAGACAAGCTTTGTGGAATAATAGTGCTGCTGGATCTACTTATGATTTTAGTGTATTATTTTTTTAGTTGGATTTATCTTTACTAAAATAACTTTTCCTTTTTTTCTTTCTTCTTTTCAATCCTCACCTAGGGTCATGTTTATATTGATTTTTAGAGAGAGGTGGCAGGGCTAATGCCTAGGTATTGGGCTCAGTCCCCGGTAGGGGCAGTTGATCAGTGTATCTCTCTCATCAATGTTTCTATCTCTCTGTCCCTTTTATATTGATTTTTAGAGAGAGGGGAAGAAAGAGAAAAGAGAGAGAAACATCCTTTGGTTGCCTCCCGTCTTCACTTCCACTGGGGATTGATCCCCCTACCTAAGTACGGTACATGCTCTGACAGGGAATCAAACCCAGAACCCTTGGTGTACGGGACAACACTCCAACCAGTTGCCCCAGGCCAGAGCAAAATCACTTTTCTTAAATAGATATGCACCTTCAGTATTAACTCAGTTATTAAGTGGAAGAGCTGTTAAGCTAATACATATTCTCAGTGGGAAGCTTGCTCAGTAGGTCCTTCAAACTTTTCTCACATCTATCTGAGCCTATTATCTTTTTGTCTCAAGCTGTGCCCTCAGGCTTTTGAACACTTCCAGGGACAGTAATACAAACCATCACTGCACTTAAACGTGCTAATGAAAACATGACTTCTGAGTGAGGCCAAACTGTGAGCACAGGTGATTCTTCACCTAGTGTCCTAGTCCATAATGCTGTCTCCCACTGATCCCTTTACCTCCAGGGGACAGGCTTTCTAAAAAACATCCTTATTATTTCAGAGTCTAAGAATTCACAGTAATTTCTCTTGAAGCCTCTTGACTGGAGATGAATGGCCATTGCTAGTGTGTTGGTGTGCTGAAGCATGCCTTTTAATAGCAGTACCCTGACCCTGAAAGGCTGTGCTGTGGATTGACAACATTTGTATAAGTGAGCTATGTTAAAGAAGTCATGAGAATTGTAGTCAATCAAATGTATTTTAAGAGTCACTTTCTGATTAACTCGTTTAACAACTGTGTGTTCTATGAACTAGTGCAATAGTTATTTCTTGATACATTTAACTCAATTAATTGATGGACATTAATTTAGGATGTTGAATAATGTTTTTCCTACTATCAATATACTGAAAGTTAGTCTTAGAAGTAGAGAAATAGATTAAAAAGAAATTTAGTTGCCCCATCTATATATAAAATTCTTTATTAAAATATAGTATAGACTTTAACTGTCAGCCGTGGGATATTTTGTTTAAACTCTGAACAAAGTCCTATAAAACTGAAAAGGCAGAGAGAATTCTAATACTTGAGTCTTCCCATCACAAAACCTCTGAGGCCACACAGCAAGATTTTGTCATGCTATTGTTTTTGGATAAAAAGCTAACAAATTGTGAGATCAAATGAGGACATGTGATGGATGAGTTTTCTTCAAAAAAAAGATATAATAGAGGTTCTCACATTAGTGTATCTCTACTCAATCTCTGTTTTAATTGAATACCATCTTTTGAATTTCCCACTTCACATATGATCTATTGGTCAAAGTTTACAATATTTGGTTCTAAATGCTTTCTTTGTAATTTCTCAATTGTAATGCACTCTGCCATTGGCTTCAACTTTATTTAATAACTTAGGATTAATGTGTGGCAAAAAGAGAGCATTTCTAAATGGAGACTTCACTGACAAGATTAAAAATCTTTTTAAAATGTCATGGCCTGCAAAAAGCCAAAACGTTTAATTTTAATAGCGCAATACTTATTTCTGGATAGATTTAATCCAATTAGTTGATAAAAATTAATTTATGACGTTGAGTAATGTTTTTGTTACTGTCAATATACTGTAAGCTAACCTTTGAGGTGGAAAAATATATTAAGAGTAAATTTGGTTGCACCATTTATAAAATTATTTAATAAAAATATAATGTAGACTTTAAGTGTCAGCCATGGGATATTCCATTTAAATTATGAACAAAGTCGGCGTCATCATTGTTGCTGTTACATGTTTTTTACATAAAAAATGTTATTCTGACATTATTTGGACTATCTTCCTCTTTATTGTTTTTTTTACCCCCATTTGATAGTATAAGATTATTTTTCTTTTTTCAACAAATAATACATAACAGAATGCATCTTTGCTATGAAAATTAAGTTTGATATACACAAGCAAAGATCTCAGAACAAAGAGATCATGTTAGAGAGAACTAAGTTAACTGTGCAGACTGTACTGAGTGTACAGAGCTTTTCACTAACCTGGGAGTTCTTTATATTATTTTTCCACCAGGATTTTTCCATAGAACATACTTATTTGGAAATATTCAGGTTTTTTGTTTTTGCTGTAATTGTTGTTTGTTTTAATTTTTAATAGATAAGTTCAGCCCAATGGAAAACTATTGATAGTTTAAGAGCTCTCCACTTTTTCAGCTCCTAAACCAAAGTAGAAGTTGTTTTATTGACTAGTCAAACATGTTCTTTTCAGACGGAGTAGTCTATACTGATTGATGGGGAGGGGGTTTTGAAAGTAGTTGAAATTATGCAGGAATGGCTAAAGAATCGTTTACAGAATAAGGGGAATATTTTTAAATTTCATAACCCATTTATTCACTATTTTATTATTTTATTTTTTCAACAACAATAAAGTATAAGATCTATGCAAAATGCAGTTCACTAAGCACTGGGAAGTAAGTAAGCTTCTATTCCTTTTCCTTAAAACGGCATAGTACAGTGAGGGTAACAGATATAAAAAAGATAATCTCAATATAATATGGTAGAGGTTAGAGCTGAGAAATCTATGTGCAATTCAGTGAAGCTAAAAAATTGTGTCCTAAAGGGTAGGCAACAGGTATTTTAGGCATCATTGCCACAAAGTATAATTTGCTTCCAGAATAGTGAAATCATGCAAGTGGAACTCGGGGGGGTATAAATGGAAGCAATACCTTTTAAGTTTGGGGTGGTTAGTTGGAAGATAAGCAAATTTGTTTCTACTTTAAGGTGTTTAAACTCTATGCTGTAGGCAATGAGAAGTTGTAAATGTGTTAAGCAGATAAGTGACTTGATAGGTAGTATATATTTAGCAATAATTTGAGGAATGCATCTGGGTTGAGAAATATTTGTGCCTGGGAGACATGTTAGGTGGGTTTCTAAAGATAGTAGTAATGAAGATGTATGGGTAAGTTCAAGAGAGAGTTCTAAGATAGAATCTAGGTATTGATTTCTAAGAGGTCCTTAATTTATCACCACTCTATTAATTGTTTGTTGTAGGTTGTGCTGTCCAGTAGAACTTTCTGTGGTGATGGGAATGCTCCACATCCGTACTCCCCAACACAGTAGCATGTGGCTGTTCCTGTTGACATATGAATTTAATGTTGAATGAATTTTAATGTTGTTTAATTTTAATAGCTTCATGTGGCTACTGGCTACAATAGGAGTATAGACTACCAAAGAATTCATTTACTTAACACATTTATTGATAATTGACCTGTGTATGACACTATGCTAGACAATAGTTTTATAGAAGGTTTTTTTTTTTTTTGAAAAAAGACATTATACTTGTACTCATTGAGTTTACAACTTGGTAGATGATATATGCATTAAACAAGAAAACAGAGATTATGTTTATATAATTGGCAAGTGTGGTAAATGCTATAATAAAATAAATCACAGGGTGCAGTTAGGAAAAATGAGTGGAAGGTATCTCTGAAAAAGTGGCTTTTGAACCAAATGTTGAAAAGGATTAGGAAATTATATGGCAATGATGGCAGATATGGAAAAGAATATTCCAGGTGGACTATGTGACTATGCAGCTGTAAAAAAGAAGAATCTGTTACCCTTTGAGACAGCATGGGTGGACCTGGAGAGTATTATGCTAAGCGAAATAAGTATCACATGATCTCACTCATATGTGAAATCTAAAGAATAAAATAAACTGATGAACAAATAGGTCCAGAGACATGGAAGCATGCAACAGACTGACAGGTTTCAGAGGGAAGGGGGAGGGGCAAGAAGAGATTAACCAAAAAATGTATGTGCATAAATGTGTAATGGACACAGACAGTAGTGCTGAGAAGGCCAGGGGTGGGATGGGAGCTGGGTGGAAGGGAGCAAAGTGGGGGAGGATGAGAGACATATGTAATAACCTCAACAATAAAAATAAACTAAAAAAAGGATATTCTAGGCAGAAAATAAAGCACATGTGAAATCTCAGAGATGGGTTTTTCAAAGCATTGAAGGAGTTAAAAGAAA